CGTTATATTGATGACTGCATAGGGGCTACCAGTGGGAGCATTGAAGAATTACATGGATTTATTAATTTCGCTAACAATTTTCATCCAGCTATTGACTTCACTTATGAAATTTCCTCAAATTCGATGGCATCCACCATCGTGCAAACAGGCCATACCATATTCACAATTTCTGAGACTCAGAAGGATATATAGTAATGACGAGGACTTTAAATCAAAAACCCAAGAAATGGCTGAATTCTTCAATCAATGCGGATATCTTACTGACATCATTAGTAAATCATTGGAGAAAGTGCATACTGTTACTCATGAGGAATCATTGAATCCAACAGTACGTGACACCACACAACGCACGCCTCTGGTTTTAACTTACCATCCTACCTCTAAGAAGATTGCTAAGATTATAACAGACAATCATTATATTTTGGAATCAGACCCAGCCACTAAAGACATTTTTAAGGAGCCTCCTATGATTTCTTATAAACGTGATCGTAGCTTGAAGGACCAGTTAGTTAAGTCAAGATTGAAAGCAATACATCCAGCAGATAATGTAGGCATGACTAGGTGTAATAGAAGTAGATGTACGACATGTAAGCATGTTGTATGTACGGATACTATCGTAGGACCTTCCAGTAATTTTTCTATTCGAGAGAAATTTACATGTACCTCTAGTAATGTCATATATGCTATTATTTGTGTTAAATGTAATAAGGTTTATATAGGAGAAACGAAAAGGAGGCTTGGAGATAGATTCGTTGAACATTTGCACTCTATCAACCTTAACACATCAGGTCTTCCTATAGCTGAACATTTTAATGATAATCATGATATTAATAACGATATATTAGTTACCGGTATCAAACAATGTAATTCATCTGAATTTAATCGTAGACGTTTGGAGGAGCGTATTATTTTTCAACTAGGTACTTTGAAACCTCATGGACTGAACGTCTCATTTAAATCTTTTAGAGATTAATTTGTTATTTTATTTATCCTGCTATGATGCATTCTGTGACCATTATACTATGACTTTTATTTTGCCTTTGATTTGTTTTCTTTTTTTAGACCGATGTCATTACACGCCTTCTAGGCGTAGCTGTTTGTATTGTCTTACTACTGTCTCTTATACACATCTAGATGTGTATAAGAGACAGGTTGTTATCGTATACACGATAACAGGCCTTACCCGTCTAAAGGAAGTTTAATACGGTAGTACCGTAAACCACACAGATGAGAACTTTAAAAACAAATTGTTTACGTAACCTTTAAATGTTTGCAGTCTTCATTCAATAGTACATTCGATTTAAAAAATACATCATCATCTTTAACTTTCATCTAAACATTTTGATTCTTATGTCAAGAATTGTTTCAAGAAAATTTGATATTTTTTCTATTAAAATTATTATAGAAAATTTATATCCCAACTACTGTAGTCGTCCCGTGTGTATGTGAGTTGTGAACTTCCAATCTTCTGATACTGTACACACGTATAGTGAAATCTGTCTCTTATACACATCTAGATGTGTATAAGAGACAGCTCAACAAACAAAAGACAAACTCAACAAACA